CTCTTTGTCCGCCATCTGGTTGTTAAGATTCAATCTGGTTAATAGATCCCAAAAGATCAACAAGTAATAGTGAAAATTCTGAAACTTTTGAAACTTTTTTTACTGAATAACTTTTGTTTATTTAGCAAAACTTAAAATGTACAGAAGAGCAGAATATATAAGAGCAGGAACTGAAACTGATGAAAAAAAATGAAAAAAATGTACAAAAGAGTAAAACTGTCAATGAAAAGATGCTTGTCGGGTGAGCAGTAAGTTTAATGGCAGGCACTTTAATTTGTTGTGTAACTTTTTCTACTTAAAATCAACGCTTTTGCCGCCCTTTCCTTTTGGCTTATCAGCGGCAACAACATCACCACCACCTTTACCTCCACCATCGACTTCCTTCTTATCATCACCACCTTTCTTCTCAACCGCCGACATTTTACGCTTCTTCTCTCGTTTCTCACGCAGAGCATCTCCAATGCCTTCATCCTTTAGAATCGGCTTTGGATTTGGATTGTTATTGTTGTTGTTGTTGTTGTTGTTGTTGTTGTTGTTCATCTGCAGCACACTCGTCTCGTCCTGGTTCAGCTCCTCCTCCATCATGGCGGTCATGTCCAGGCCCATAGTGGCCCCGATCCGCAGCTTCGCCTTCTGAAAGGTGGCACTCAGCTTCTCCTGGACGACGTTGATGCACATTGAGGTGAGAGCCAGGCCAAAAAGCAGATAGATGAAGGTGCACATCATGAAGGCGGGATGCTCGGGGACGTAGTCGCCAAAGCCAATCGTCGAGAGGCTAATGTACACAAAGTAGAAGGACTCGAAGAAGGTCCACTTCTCCCAGATGGTGAAGACGGCGGCGCCGGCCATCATGTAGAGGAGGAGGAGGGTGACGGCGACGCTGATCGGCAGATTGAACTCGTCGTCCACCTCAAACTCCTCCGCCAGCGTCTCATCATCGGTGAAGGTAGTGGACTCGTCGATGGTTTGCAGTCCACCAGCAGGAGCAGGATTACTAGCATCAGCCCCAGCGCCGAGGTCTTTGCTGAAGAGGCGGCCGCGCAGTGGCACCACCGTGGACATCTTCCGATTGACGGCGTCCATTGTCTGCGATACGAACTG